GGAGCCCCTAGTAGCGTCCTTGCTCCTAGTAGTGAGGCCAGGAGCCCCTAGTAGCGTCCTTGCTCCTAGTAGTAAGGCCAGGAGCCCCTAGTAGCGTCCTTACTCCTAGTAGTATGGCCAGGAGCTGGTAGTAGCGTCCTTGCTCCTAGTAGTATGGCCAGGAGCCCCTAGTAGCGTGCTTTCTCCTAGTAGTAGCGTCCTTGCTCGTAGTATGGCCAGGAGCCCCTAGTAGCTTCTTGTTACTGGTAGTATGGCCAGGAGCCCCTAGTAGCGTCCTTGCTCCTAGTACTATGGCAGGAGCTCTAGTAGTTTCTTGTTACTAGTAGTGAGGCCATAGCGTCCTTGGTCGTAGTAGTAAGGCCAGGAGCCAGGAGCCCCTAGTAGCGCCCTTGCTCCTAGTAGTAAGGCCAGGAGCTCCTAGTAGTATGGCCAGGAGCCCCTAGTATCGTCCTTGTTGGTTGAAGAAAAGATGTCTTAGTTGGAAATCCTGTTGAACAGAACTGATAAGCTGATACCTTATATCTTTTCTCATGCTTCCAGAGCCTTTCTTTATACTTCAGATGCCAACTGTTTTTTGTTCTTGTTATATACATGTTTTTTCAGCATCAGGCAATGTGGAAAGAAGGCTCCAGGGCAGCAGCTTTAAAGCAAATCGAGGCAACTCTGACCTGTGCCTTCGACGCTTCGGGTTAAGTTTCCCTAAAAACCTAGGAACCAAATCATTAGCGCGAGCTATCCTGAGTCCTAATTAAGTAGTGGCTACTTAAGCTACTAGCTACCTCTCCCTTACTGATATATAAGTAGGCGCCTACTTAATCCTACTTATACAATTAAGTAGGGAGCGGGGGCAGTGGGCTAAAAAAAGAAGCTGTTTTCCTTTTTTGCTCTTCAACGGTTTTCTTTGCTCTTCAATCGATGCAGATCGACGGAGCAGGTGGCACTGCGGATGGTCACCCAGCCGGACGACTTGTTGGCCTTGCAGGAAAGCATCCTAAGTGAGGTTGATGCCTCGAGAAATCCATCTCGCAGCAGTTCCAAGACAGGTGGGCCCACAGAGTGGAGACAGGCTGAGACAGGAGACACGCTTATAGTGCGGTTTGGTTTCAGGAAATCTTCCCTAATGAAAACAATAAAAGGACCGGATAACCCCACGTGATAAGTTTTACAAATTTCAGATGTATATGAAGCACATGGGAGACGGAGTAGTGAGATGAAAAGTCAAGAACGAAGTGTGAGGAGAGAAGGTATATGAGGCGGCTGTGCTAAGACGTGTAGTATAAGTGATGATGTGATGGACGAGGATGAGAAGGAGGGGAGGGAGGAGGTGTGTGTGTGTGCGGTAAGATGGCGTGCGTGTGTGTGTGGGTGTGCGATAAAGTGTCTGATGATGTGATGAACAAGGATGAGAAGGACGAGAGAGAGAGAGTGAGTGAGTGAGTGAGTGAGTGAGTGAGTGAGGTGAGTGAGGTGAGTGATGTGAGTGGAGTGAGTGGAGTGAGTGGAGTGAGTGGAGTGAGTGGAGTGAGTGAGTGGAGTGAGTGGAGTGAGTGGAGTGAGTGGAGTGAGTGGAGTGAGTGGAGTTGAGTGGAGTTGAGTGGAGTTGAGTGGAGTTGAGTGGAGTTGAGTGGATTGGAGTGGAGTGGAGTGGAGTGTGAGTGGAGTGTGAGTGTGAGTGTGAGTGACAGTGAGTGAGTGACAGTGAGTGAGTGACAGTGAGTGAGTGACAGTGAGTGAGTGACAGTGAGTGAGTGACAGTGAGTGAGTGACAGTGAGTGAGTGACAGTGAGTGGAGTGGAGTGGAGTGGAGTGGAGTGGAGTGGAGTGGAGTGGAGTGAGTGAGTGAGTGGCCGCAGCCATTACAATGCGATTCGCAGCCTGTCACAGTCATTGCTTTGCAAATCACAATGGCAGTAACGCACAGAACCGCCGGGGGCCCAGCGGCGACCACGCGCGCCGCAGCCCCTTCTGCAGTCTCTGGGTACTGCGCCTGCCACTGCAGGGTGCGCACATCCTGGCCGCAGTCATTACATTGCGATTCGCAGCCTGCTACTGCGCCGCAGCCCCTTCTGCAGTCTCTGGACACTGCGGAGAGAGCCGGAGTCAGTGATGGAGTGAGTGAGTGAGTGAGTGAGTGAGTGAGTGAGTGGTGATATCTTGTGTTGTGTGTGTGAATGAGTGAGTGAGTGAGTGAGTGAGTGAGTGAGTGAGTGAGCGAGGAGGGGGCGAGGAGGACGGAGGGAGGAAGGAAGGACGGATGCGGGCGGGATGGCAGCCAACAAAACTAGAACCCCACACAGAGATGTGGGGAATTGAACACATGTTACATATGCCATCTTTGGGAACTTGGTCACTTCGGGCCTCACTTTGCACTCCACTCAATTCTACTTTCAACATTCTTAGGCGAAACACCAAAGGCTTCTTGCCAGGCTTGCTGCCCCCAATGCCCAGCCGCAGCGTCTCTCCATGCGCGACCCCAACACCGGGTTCGCGAGTTGCCACGCCACCAACTGTGAGGACGGACCCGGTCTCGGGATCTCGTCCGGCATGGGCGCCACAGGGCGGGCTAGGCATTCAGAGTCGATGTCAGGTAGAAAGAAAAGACAAGAAAAGAAACACATGTAAACATTTGGTTAAACAAGTTTTACATGATTTGAGGTCAAAAGTACTGTACAATCAGCTTAGCGTCAGATGGAGTGGACTTTTCCAGCTCTTCGATACAACCCCCGAAAGATATGAGAGGATAGGACGGAGGGCTCATACTACTTATAGTAGGAAAGACGCTACTAGGGGCTCCTGGCCTTACTACTAGTAACAAGAAGCTACTAGGGGCTCCTGGCATCGCTACTAGGAGCATTCTTACTACTAGGAGCAAGGACGCTACTAGCATGGTAATTTTTCCTGTGGTGCCTCCGAGGACACCCTCCAGAGCCTCCCGTGGCGCTTCCCAGTCCAGAGCAGCTTCGAACTCGTCCAGGCCACCTGAAGTACAAGAAACCGCTACTAGTAGCTCAGTAGCTTCTTGTTACTAGTAGTATGAATGCTCCTAGTAGCGATGCCAGGAGCCCCTAGTAGCGTCCTTGCTCCTAGTAACTCGTAGTAAGGCACCTTGTTAGTATCTTCTTGTTCCTAGTAGTAATGCCAGGAGCTACTAAAAGCGTCTAGCCCAAACAGTTTTGGCTGCCGAATGATGTTGAAATTGAGAGTCATCCGTTCAGCCCACGTTCGTTTGATGTCAAAATCGGAGAGATCTGCTGCAGTCTAGTTTGCTTTGGCGCGGCTGGCAACAGTGTGCTGTGCCAGGAGGCGTTCTCCGAGTAGTGGTAAGCTGCCTGCCATGCCAGCACACGTGGCAAGGGCCTTTGCAGTTCTGGGCGGCGAGGAGTGGTGTTTGGGGTGTTTGGGAAAGGCGTACTTGGTAAGAAGCAGGTGTTTTCTATAGCATTTCTGTTTGCACAGGAAGTGGGTGTCAACAATCGTGTTTTTTTTTTCGTTGAGTCTTTTGAGTCCAGCAAGGATTTGGAACTCAAGCAAATCAACAGATAAACATTGTGATCAACTGACTTTGGATCTTCCGTACAACTGGAGAACTCATCTAGCAATACTCACGCAGCAAAGACTTGGAAAGCTTTTCTGCTTGGATAGCTTGCGTGCCTTTGTTGCAATGCTAGCTTAAACGGGAGGCAATCACAATCACTTGAAGTGGCAAGGTGCAAGTGGTGCTTGCTTTACCATAAGCATGTCAGGACTGAGCCAAGTCAGGGCGCCACCTGAAGAGAACTTTGAAGTCGGGCGATGAACTGTTTGCCCTTGTCGAGATTGATTGATGTACATATGCTGTGTGTGATCCAAAGATTACAAATAAATACAACTGCCAGAGATCCTTCATGAACAATCCAGATGTAAAAAGGACACGTGCAGGATGTCAAAAGGATCCTTTAAAGGACCTCTCACTTCTACTTCGCTAAAATTTGGCGAGAGCCTGCGAAGACTGCTGGAGATTCTCAATCATTGGGTGCATTTGTTGCGTGATATCTTGTTTATCTATGTCCTTCTGCGCCGATGACACCAAAGGGTGTCATGGCATCAAAGAAGAAGAAGAAGAAGAAGAAGACCACGCCCTTCATGGTCTTCGACCCCAAAAAACGCTGCGTCCAACTGTCTCTTGTAACCAAAACGTCGCACGTTCTAGGTATCAAGGACCTTTGACGATCCCATCGCGGTGAAGTGGGCACTGGAACGGGTGCGGCCTCCGATCGGTCTTCTTCGGAAAGAAAACAAAAACAGGGCGAGACGACACATGATTCTCTTCCTTGTCTTCTAGATTATTCATGGTTTCATTGGATGTTCCAATGCTTACTTGCCAAAGCTTCCTTTAGATCACTTTCCATAAGCCTCTTCTTTTTTCTCATTACTCTAAGGACCCCAGGTGTGGCGCGGACATCCGCCAGCTTCGTGGCCGTTTCAAGTTCGGGGGTGGGGCAAGATGTTTTTGATGCTACAGTGCCTAAATGGAGATGAAGAAAGGACACTTTGAGCGACAGTTGATGCAACATATATAAATGAGGGCGAACCTAGACGTCCCATCAAAGGACCTGATTACTGTAGTGAGGTTGTTTATTTGTGTCTTTGTCAATCATGTCCTTCTTTCCCTAAACACGCGCATTTTGAGTTGCCTTCAATGTTTGATATTTGCGGACCCAAAAAGTGAAGAAGCTCAACTAGGTTGGAGGTCATCACTTCTAGGTTGGAGGCCATTGAACAAGCTCAACTCATCACGCGGCCTGACGTTCAATGTTCCACGTGTCGAAGCTGAGGTTCCTTGGCCTCAAGCATCCAGAGCGGCAGGAACGAAAAGAGGCTCGGATTCCAAGATCTTGCAGACAGAAAGTGATCTGCAACACTTGAATTCACACCCATCACGGCCACTACATGTCTCTGGTGCTTCTCAGTTTATGTCTCAAATCGAATCTTTTCATTGGCAGGTTCAAGAGTGCAAACCACTCTCGTTCTCAACATTTGCTGCTCAAGTTCCTCAAAGAAGAGGGTGCTATAGTCGCAGAAGGTTTCATGTGGGCTTCTCCTCAGCTTGTGTTCCCAATCACCTTGCAAATGACCCAACATTCATGAAACACTTGAAGCATCACTGCCCCTGCGGCTGGGACAAACATCCTGATGAGTCTTGCCTAAAATCGCGTTCGATGCCAAGCAAAATACATCCAAACGCTGATCCCAATGTGGAGGTTGTCTCAAAATGAACTGAACTACCGGTGTTTGGCGTCCTGATGTGCCATATCCAGTTGAGGCTCTGGATTTGACAGTCTGGAACTGCAGACAGTTGGCTTACTAAGGACCCCAAACTGAGAAACCACCCGGCTGGGTCTGTCACTTCGTAGATCTTAGAGGTGTCCCAGAGTCTCAGCCCCACAAAAAATGGTAGGCTTTTTGCTGAAGGTGATTGCACATCATGGTGAATTGTCCACTGCAAATGGATGCACATGGCACCAAAATGCCTCCAATGACTCACACCAACCATGTGTTTCACTCATCTTCCGGCTTTGTTGCCTTGAGTTAAGAACAGAACAGCTGCGCAAGTTTCCAGCAACACCGGAGAAACCCGGACAACGACAGGCTCGGATGCGAGTGCGCCACACGCAGTTGCTGCTGAGGGGTGGAGCGCGGACCCCCCCTGGAGCCTTTGGCGCTCCCCGACTGAAGGAGTGCAACGCAGAACTCCAAATCTCGACATCATTCTTCAGAATGACAGGCTTGTTTGTTTATCTTTGAACACCAAAGGCAGCAGATGTGAATTTTCACTTGGCACCTGTTAAGAATTATATGGAATTATGGTGATAAGATGGGATAAGTGATACATCGCTGGCAGAGAGCTTCTTGCTTTTGGTACTTAGGCCAGAGAGCTTCTGGCGCTCGACCCTGCCAAATGAAACCCTTCTACGACGGCTGAGTATTGTCTCCACCGAAGGAGCCTGCGATAACATTTGCTTCTCGAATGATTCGGGAGTGCTTTCGATGCTTTCATCTTAGGTGTTTGGATTTTATTGCGCCTTAGAGCTAGTAGCCACTACCAGCAAGATCTAGTTTTTTTTTCAATGTTGTTTCTATTTTCCTTTTAAAGGAGCTTTTTCAACCTAAGTGAAGATTCGGACCACCTGGGATCAATGTGCAGGGGCTCGGCGTCGAGTTAGTGTGGAGTCGCCGTGGAAGCAATTGACCACGCGTGGCATGGATGAGGCTCCTTGCAGTCTTGTGGCATGCTTTTCTCTCAAAGAGTAAGCAGGTGTAATATGAAGCTGTGAAGCTGGCAGTTAATGATTCTGGTAAACAGGAACCGAATGAATAGTGCGAGCTATCCTGCGTCCTAGCCAGAAGCTTACCTCTTTACCTATATATTATAATCAAGTAGGCTCCTACTTAATGAAGTAAACGGCGGGCTAAAAAGGAGTCACAAGGACGCTACTAGGTGGAGGCCATTGCTATTAGGTTGGAGGCCATCGCTACTAGTAACAAGAAGCTACCAGGGAGAAGATCTTAAAACGTTTGCACACCATCCCCACTGCGGCTCCCAGTCCTACGCCTTGGGCCGTCGGATCGAGACGTGGATGTCTGAGCATCTTGGCAGCTTTATTTGGAAAGACCAATCTTGGACAACACCTTCTTCTTCCCTTGCACCCCTTGCCTTGTCCCTTCTTCTTCCTCTTTGCAGCCTTCGACTGGAAGTTCCTCAGGCAAAGCCTCGGAGACGAAGAAGAGGCGGACGGAGTGTGAAATTGGAGACGTCTGTTGGCGTTACTTCCCCTTTGCATTTTGGAATGTAATTTCATCTTGCAACAGATTCAGACTAGAGCCTTTGTCATCAAATACTCCACTAGCATGCCACTATAAAATGTCGATCCTTTGCCTCTATAACATGCAGTTTCCAACCCCCATTTTATAAAGAGTATAGTGGGTATGTGCCAAAATCAGAGGTTTGGATTCTCATTTTATAAAACACATTGTTTTGCTGCCTGAAGACGTTGAACGTTTCACCTTTGCTAAGATGGGAACTCAGTCGAGTCATTTTATAAACAGAGCGCTGGTGTTGAAGATTTGGTAATAATTAGAATGTAAGGAAGCTTTCTAGAAAATCATCTTTGGGGATCGACGAAACATTCAGAGGCTGTTTGGTCCATGAACCGTTTGTGGACAAAGGCCTTGGTAATTTGGTACCCCTTGTAGAAGCGAAATGTGGACCTTTATATCATGACGTTGCTTGATATCTTGACTATCAACTGTCACAGAGGGCTGCTTGATCATTTAAATTTGTAACAAAACAAAGATGCTCAAGGAATCTGACAGGAACATATGCCTGTAAGAGATCTTTATTTTATAAACTGGTTATTCATGTTATTGTGATTCTATCTTGGTCTTACCACAGGCCAAGTAGATGTTCATGGGGTATGTCATCAAGATTGTCGGAGACTACTGAAGACCCTTCCAAAGCAACTCCAGTCTGGAACCAATGAGAAGGGTGCCAAAAAGCACCCAACACCGGCTCACTGGGAAGTGCCTAGTGGCCTCCTTTGCAGGAAGTGCCAGCACTGGTCATAGCATCCCCAGACCAGCGCTCCACTTGGACAGCACGGGCAGCACCTCGGAGCAAGTAGCAGAAAGTCGCATGCGGAATCGAGACGTGTCAAACCAACGTGAAACATTGCAAGACCGCCGCTTGCTTGTGTTTGAAGTGCTTCGTGTATGTTCGCGTTAAGATTGTGCAGAGGGCACTGGGTGGTTCGAGATGACTTTTGAATCTTCAGGTCCTCCGTGGACTTTGTGCATCGCATGGGCAAAGTGACCCCATGGCAGTGCGCTTGCGCACCACGAGGGCCGCTTTGCGGGTGCCAGTTCAGGTGAGCTGAAATGAGTGAAAACGAACTGAAAAGACATGCATGGGCATGCTGCATGGGTTTCTCAGGACGAGGACGAAGATGCCAAGCAGGATGTTGCCATGGATTTGACGGAGCTACTTGCGCTCCGACCGGATGCATTGGAAGGCTCGACATCAAGGCTCCAGAAGTTTAGAAGCAACATGAAGCAACCATCACCTTTTTGTCTCAAGGCATGAAATATGCTTCCAGTTGCTAAGACTTGGGCAAAGTGTGGTAAGGGTACCATGATGGTTTGTAGTGTCAATTTGCTCAACATTCCATCAGCATTGCTTCCTGAAGCAGCGAAAGAAATACCAAGGGGTGAACTCGGGCTTATACCTGCAGCTTTGACACGAGTTTGTATGCAGCTGACGTGGCTCAAAAGCGAATCAGCGGAATGAAACAATTATACAGTGAGTAATATATATAAGTCTTGGAAGTCCTGCCTTGGTATGATTTGAGGCACTACCAAAGGTGTAGGGCACACGACCAGTGTCCTTGGGCGTGACATCGTCACGAATTGGCCGAAGTCAGTTTGGTATTAGGTTCTTGTGTCTAAGAGCTTCACTTGCAAGAAGAAGAGAAAGGGACGTTCATTCTTTATGTTAAACCGAATAGTTAGGGTATAGTATTACCCTTGCTTCTTTGTGCGCTGGACAGCCATGTCTCAAGATGGCCCAGCCAACAAAGCTTTCAAATGGACTTTCGCGGACCTATTCTCGGTGTGGTGCTGGCCTCAGTCCATCCTAAGAGCAATGGCCTCCATCCTAAGAGCCACGGCCTCCAACCTACTAGCGATGGCTTCCATCCTAAGAGCCTCCATCGTATGAGCGATGGCCTCCAACTGGTGATGGCCTCCATCCTAAGAGATGGCCTCCAACCTACTAGCGATGGCCTCCATCTTAAGAGCGATGGCCTCCAACCGATGGCCTCCATGCTAAGAGCAATGGCCTCCATTCTAAGAGCGATGGCCTCCAAGCTGCTAGCAATGGCCTCCTTGCTAAGAGCGATTGTTTCCATCCTAAAAGCAATGGCGTCTGTCCTAAGAGCGATGGCCTCTATCCTAAGAGCAATGGCCTCCATCCTAAGAGTGATGGCCTCCAACCTACTAGCGTTGGCCTCCACCCCAAGAGCGATGGCCTCAAACCTACTAGCGATGGCCTCCATCATAAGAGCGATGGCCTCCACCCTACTAGCGATGTCCTTCATCCTAAGAGCAATGGCCTCCATCGTAAGAGCGATGGCCTCCAAACTACTAGCGATGGCCTCCACCCGACTAGCGATGGCCTCCATCCTAAGAGCGATGGACTCGAACCTAAGAGCAATGGCCTCCATCCTAAGAGCAACGGCCTCCAACCTACTAGCGATGGCTTCCATAGCCTCCATCGTATGAGCGATGGCCGCCATCCGAAGAGCAATGGCTTCCAACCTAGTTGCGATTGCCTCCAACCTCGAAGCGATGGCCTCCAGCCTACTAGCGATGGCCTCCGTGCTAAGAGCAATGGCCTCCATTTTAAGAGCGATGGCCTCGAACCTACTAGCAATGGCCTCCATCCTAAGAGCGATTGCTTTCATCCTACTAGCGATGGTCTCCATCCTAAGAGCAATGGCCTCCATCCTAAGAGCGATGGCCTCCAACCTAGTAGCGATGGCCTAGATTAAGAGCAATGGCCTACATCCTAAGAACCATGGCATCCAACCTGGTAGCGATGGCCTCCACCCTAGTGGCCCTAGTGGCAATTGGAACCTGTGAAATTCCATGATTTCTGTGAGGCTCTCAGAATCATCATGGTCTATTCAATTGACACATTTTGGCATTGCTGGCGGGCCTTTTTGACCCTGCAAATCAGCACATTCATTCTAAGAAAAGCTGAGGATGGCTGCACTTGCGGCACTGGCCCTTGCACAACCATGGCTCTTTGCGCCAGGACCTCAGCTGAAATTGCCTGAACAGATTCTAGCCTGACGGCCAGCGCGTGCGCAGGTGGGTGGGGCCCAAGACCAGCCGATTTCTTCTGGTGACCTTAGTCTTCATGATGGGGATGACTTCTCAGCCGGAGGACGAAATGAAACGCTGTCAAACAATTGCCAGTCCGAACATGAAAACAAGAATGCTTCCTTGTGCCTTTCCTTATTCATTCCGTTTTTGAATCCTATCTCTATATATATATATATATATTGGTTTCATTGGGGAAGGTAGGCCATGAAGACCAGGCGGGCAGAGGGATAAGCTGTCCTAGCTTAAGTGAAGGCGGAAGGGGCTCGGGCTCAAAGAAGCTCCCCCGCGTGAGGGCAGGGAGAGCTCTGGTTCCTGGGGTGGAGGCCATGCTACTAGGGTGGAGGCCATCGCTCTTAGGATGGAGGCCATCGCTATTGGGGTGAAGGCCATCGCTCCTAGAGAACTCTGGTTCTTAGATGCTCCTAGTAGTAATGCCCTTTGCTCCTAGTAGCTTCTTGTTCCTAGTAGTAAGGCCAGGAGCTACTAGTAGCATCCTTGCTCCTAGTTGTTTGATGATTTTTGCCAGGACTTTAAAGCTTGTGTGGGAAAGGTGCGTCCATTGCTCGTGAACTTCATCGCAACAATGGCCGCAAATATGATCTTTACGTCTCGTTCATAGGTCGTTAAATGCCGCCGCACCGTGAACACTTCCAGGTTTTCAAGTTCAAGTTGACCTGCTGTGATCTGAATTCTAATGCGGCTAGTGAGCAAACCCTGCCGCGCCCGGCAAACAGATTACTGTAAGAACTCTGTACCCATTGCTTCAGGAAAGGTAGTTATGCTTCCGACTAGTGACTATAAGCTACTAGTAACAAGTGCATCGCTATTAGTAACAAGAAGCTACTAGGAAACAATATTAGAATTTATTAGAACTAAGTTAAGTTAAGTTAAATATTGTTTGGTTTCCGCTTGTTCGACTGCTGGGCCAAGAGGTTGGACGGGTCAATGGCTTCTTCTTCCTAGTAGCGATGCCAGGAGCCCCTAGTAGCGTCCTTGCTCCTAGTTGTTGACAGCTGGGCCTTGAGTCTTTTTGTGTTTTCCAAGGCATGCTTCGGTGCAACTTGGCAAGAACTGTATTAGTATCCAAACTGCAGGCGTAGACCATCCGTCTCCCCCAAGGCCTCTTGAAGAGACGAGACGTGTATGGGCAGAGTGAGCGAGGAATTAGTTATCATTGGTTCTGGTCACTTGAAGCTTTAAGTGCCAAGGTCTTGCCCGCGGTTGCAGTGGGAATTGGCCGTTCTTTGGACCTTAGACAGGCCATGAGCTTTGCCGAAGTTCCTTCGTCAAGGAACACATCCTTGCTGGTTGAGTTGTTTTCAGGACTTTTTGGTCGGCTTAGTGCTCATGGGCGGCGTCAATGGAGGCGCTTCGACTCAATCTTTAATATCCGGACATATTTGGAAAACACCTCGAAGTTGTGTTGAGGCTTTGCAAGGTTGCAAGTTTGTTGATCAGCTGAAGCTTCGCTCCAAAATGCATCAGCCTGGTGAGGATCGGCATCGAACCTCTTCACCCTGATCGCCGGTGGAGATGTCGCACTCTCTGTCCTCATGACCATCACCACAACGCTTGGGGCAGAATCTCATCCTAATAGCGATGGCCTCCAACCTAAGAGCGATGGTACTTCTAGAGTTCCGAGGTTGTTTGCACTCCACTGGTGGCTGAAGTCTTTGTTGGTGCCATTGTGCCAGTAGACTCCCTCGGGATGCTGCAGTTCCTCGACGTGAGAAGGATGGACTGTGAACCCCAACGGGAGCTCCTTCAGGGACGGACGAAGTGGTCGAAGGCGTTCTCGGCTGCGTTCTCGGCGGGTTTGGCTCCAAGTAGCATCCTTTTGCTACTAGTAGTAATGCCCTTGTTACTAGTAGCGTTCTTGCTCCTAGTAGTAAGGCCAGGAGCTACTAGTAGCGTCCTATTGATGGGATTTTTTCAGGTCAGCTGTGGAGATGGTTCTATTCCCAATCCTTTGTGGTGTGGCCACACGAGCAGCCTTGCCTCAAACGACCCTGAGATTGGATACTTGGCGACAATGCTGCCACACTCATCCATACTGTATGGCCATGTCTGAACAGGGTTCTCATGAGACTTAGGAACCTCTCATCCCGAACTTGGGACTCGGCACTGCACTTCCCTTGATTGGGGGCGTCCTTGCAGGTGCGTTCATCTCGTTGATATCTTTTGTCTTTTGCGTTTGTCCATCGTCTTTATTCGTTGGTATATTTTCTATTTAGATGCATTTATTTGTTGCATTTATTTCCTTTCGTTCGTTTGTGCATGTACGTCATTTGCTCCTCTCGCTGGAGGTAATGCCCCTGCGATTTTGAGCGCCGGACTTCGCTTACATTTGGCGACCCTGGCCTTCCACCTTGCTGCAGGCCTTCTAGGCGCAACCCTCCGTGGCTCCCACATCATTTGAGATCAACTTGAATTCACTAGCTCCCACTTACGGTCTTCTTTTTGTTATCCCTGGATTCTTGAAGTGTAGAAAGGTGGACTGTTTCGCAGATGTATTGATGGAATTTGATGAATATGATCCGAACTGCAGCCTTCCCAGGCTACGCAGCTGCAGCCTTCACAGGCTCTGATGAGCGAATCTGTCGGACGGTTGCCATTGAAGTGGTAACTCGATGAAGGTTTGAGAAAGGAACAAATTTACAGAAAACATCAGAAAACTATATATAGAATATAGACCTCCAAATAGATAGAAAAAAACACATAGAAGAGTAGATCCCCACTAAACATCTATTGGAAACCGTTTCTATCTATTTAGGGACCACTATAAATAGAACACATTTAATAAGCCTTGGCAAGCAAGTTATTCTTTTTCTCGCTTGACTTGCGGGAGGAAGCTCGGTCTGCCAAGGCGATGAAGAACAACATCTTTGCATGTTTGTTGGCCGCGGCCCACTTTGAGTCCAAGGCAGTGCAGATCCTTGCCGCAAGAAGCCAGTGGCATCCTGCCTGAATCATTGATGGCCAGATGGCCAAGGTATTCTTGTTGGCTCGCACCTGAGGATTCCACCTGCTACTGCCTGCATTTGGTGTCCGATCGTTGCAGCTGCCATGGCAAGCTACTGGAAGTCTTCCCTGCCACGAAGCCAAGCTGCATGACTTTTTGTGCTTTCAGGGGAGCTTGTGTTGATTTGAATGGGTTTTGATAGGTAGCAAAGGCTACAAAGTTCAAGCATGCTTTAGCTGCAGATGGTTGATGGAAAGTCTGAGGAAAGGTCAGTGGGGACGCTGCAGGAGATGCTTCAGCCTTCTTTCGCATGGCAACTCGTTAATCCGTGTAAATATCATCCGGCATCAACCTTTGATCACGAAGGGGCCCTCACAAGTCGTTCATCACAATCTCTTTTTTGACAAGATCGTTCAGATTTCATTGCACAATACTTTTTAGTTTCCTACTATCTTTGACCCATTGGGAGAACCTCCGCAATTGGACTTCACGAAACTCTTGGATTAAGTGATCAGATGACATCAAAGGTGATGAGGTCGTCCACTATGCTTTTGAATCTTAAAGCTCTTTTAAGTACTTGGAGCCTACTGGATCAAATCCTGAGGGCTGTGCCGTGGCCAGAATTTCTGAACAGCAGAACCCTGGAATAGTGATCTTGGAGCCGTTGCTTCCAGACCTATGCGGCTGCGCCCCTCCACCGGTTTTTATCCGGTGCTGCCTCCGAACATGTTGTTGTAGGTAGGAAAGGCCAGTGACAGCACTGCCAGAGGAGCTCCGTAGACATTTCAATCCACACACTTGCCAAAGGGCAGAGAGAAGACGTGTTAGACGGAGGAAATGCGATGTGAAATGCAATCCATCACAACTTGGCTTTCTTCAGTGGATGATCCTGCCAAATGCAAGCAAATTCTCAAAAAATAGCTGCTTTGTGGATCGCCAGATGCCAGCTGGCCGCGGTTGCTGGATGTGGCAGAGACAGCCAGCATCTTTGGTTTGCTGCCAAAAGGTCAGTTGGATCAGGCACTTGCTGGGAGCTCGTGAAAACATGCAGGGCGCATACAGAAACTTTCGAAAATGATAGCTAAGCTACAAAGCGGGGCTACATGTGGCTACCTTTTGTATTTTAATGCTTTGTGCTCCCGGAACTCCATTGATCAGTGAATTTGAGTGAAGATTTGTGTTGCATCGCTTGAACGTTTGTTTTCACGTTCTGCTTTGTTGGAGCAAACAAAGGAAGAATAGCTTATTGTTTCTAATAGCTTCTTGTTACTACTAGTAAGGCACTTGTTACTAGTAGCGTGGCACTTGTTACTAGAAGCAAGGCACTTGTTACCAGTCAGATCCTGAAGATCCACAAGTTTGGGATGCCAGGCTTGGAAGGCTGTTTTGGCTCCGGCCCACCGAGCGGCTCGAGCCTTGTGCGATTCCAAAGCTGCCAAGCGCGCAGGACCGCTGCCGCGAGCTAAGGGGTCGCTTTACATTAGCAAGGTCTCGAAGGTAGAGTCATTGCCAATTACAGCAGATAATAGGCAGAAAGCATCACTTACCAATTCAGGCTGAGACTTACTTTGGAGCCAGCAATGCTGTAAGCTTGGCATGTATTGGTTTGACGGTCACGAGGGGCTTGGAGCGGAACACGCATAAATCAATAAAGACTCCGGATTTGGCGTACGTATACTGTAAATCTACTGTGTTTTGCCTTTTGGACAGATGGGGATGCCAGATTGAATACGAAGCTTTCACTCTGACTATTGGAAGTTGAATGATAACGTTGCACCTAATTATCCAAGCTGCATTTGTTTCAGGCAGTCTCTGGAGCATACTGATTGAATCTGATTGATTCCTTTGGAGAGTCCTTCCAGGTTGCAATCAGGATCCCTTGGCAGCCACCAACTCAGATCTTTGGGAGAAAGGGACTAGGAACAACTGAGAAACTTGCCAAACGGACGCGGGCATATTGAGGTGAAAGGCTGCGACTGGTTGTTCTGCCAGGATTTTCTCTTCTTTGCTGGGCTTGCGCGCCAGAGACTAAGAAGCAGCTGTTCACAGTAGTGCAGCAAGGCTGAACTTGAAATTTAGGGTGTGATGATGATTCAGTGATGGGGAATGTTTGCATTGGCTATTTGATGTATTTCTATGGAAATCCCGAAATCCGCTGATACTCCCAGGCTGCAGTTGCCTCGTTTAGTGCGGTTGTGGCCGGCGCCAAGCAGCAGCCTTTTGGCACAGCCCTCAGGTTTAGCAGAGCATGCTTTTGCGAAGCTGCATGCAGCAATCACAGCACCACGAGATGTGATGGTTGGCGGTTGAAGCCCCCCTTTCTGGCGATGGTGCGCAGAGTGATCACCACAGCCTGTCTTTAAGCTGAAATCCATGGCTGGACAAATAGTGCCGCAACAGGAATCGGTGGATCAGACATCTTCCTTTCGCCCACAGTCATAGTATCTATATATAGCGATGCCCTTTGTTACTAGTAGCGTTCTTGCTCCTAGAAGGCCAGGAGCTACTAGTAGCTATTTTCTCCTAGTAGCGATGCCGTTTGTTACGAGTAGCGTTCTTGCTCCTAGTAGCTACTAGTAGCGTCCTTGCTCCTAGTAGCAAGGCCACGAGCTACTAGTAGCTATTTGCTCCTAGTAGTGATGCCCTTTGTTACTAGTAGCGTCCTTGCTCCTAGTAGTAAGGCCAGGAGCTACTAGTAACGTCCTTGCTCCTAGTAGTAAGGCCAGGAGCTACTAGTAGCTATCTGGCTATTTGCTCCTAGTAGCGATGCCGTTTGCTACTAGTAGCGTCCTTGCTCCTAGTAGTAAGGCCAGGAGCTACTAGTAGCTATTTGCTCCTAGTAGCGATGCCCTTTGCTACTAGCATCGTTCTTGCTCCTAGTAGTCCTTTGCTACTAGCAGCGTTCTTGCTCCTAGTAGTTAGGCCAGGAGCTACTAGTAGCTATCTGGCTATTTGCTCCCAGTAGCGATGCCCTGTGTTACTAGTAGCGTCCTTGCTCCTAGTAGTAAGGCCAAGAGCCACTAGTAGCTATTTGCTCCTAGTAGCGATGCCCTTTGCCACTAGTAGCGTTCTTGCTCCTAGTAGTAAGGCCAGGAGTTACTAGTAGGTATCTGGCTATTTCTGTGCTGGTTTAGCGTAGTTGCCGGGGTTATGGGGTTAATCCGAGGCATCTGCGCGGTAAAAACGGTAAAACTCGTTTTTTATTTTTTCGGGGGGGCGCCCCTTTTTCTCTACCATATCCGCGGTAAAAACGGTAAAAATCGAAC